CACACCCCCGGCTCGATCAGAAAGCGAACCCATGACCCATCAGTGCCAGTGACTTGCGCGCATGGCATTGCTTACAGAACTGGACCATGTGTAACATCGGTAGACTATTTAACCGCGATACGGCGTGGCTCATCATCCACCGCCAAGCGTTACGGACTTCGCAAACGACAGTTGGCACCTAGGGCCACGGCCTTCTGGCAGCTATGCACAACATCGCATTCAAAAAACGTACGCGCGAATGTTTGCGTTACTTTTGAGCGGTGGATTTTTAATGTAATTTCATATAGGGTTATTCACAGTATCTTCAAGTCAGGCACGCCCAAGCATCCATTTTGTCGTATTGCGGCTTATCAGTAGCGCAAATGCTTCGGTTAAGCTAGGGACTGACCCCATGACATCGGCGGATTGTTTCACTATAGACAGCCGCTATGCCATTGCGTTATATCGCAATTAGTCTGTAAGGCTTGGCAGCGCGCCGCCGTCACACATGGTTTAGTGACATAGGACACTGGCGTCGAGAGGTCATTCGTCCGATTCTGAGTGAAAAGAGGGGATGAACCATTGGACAAAACCAGCATCCAGTACATCCATGATGTATGGGACCATTAGACTCGGGGCTACTGAGAGAAGCCTTAACATAGTTACATCCCGTCAACACATAGTTGGCGGTATCCGGTTCCAGATTGGTATGTCAATGCGGCCTCCATTGGAAAGACGTCTGTGCCTACAGAGAGACCATGGGTAGTTTGCACTGCACCATCCACACACATATTCAGTGTAAACCCGAGGGAACAAGACCGGGAGGCATGCAGACGGGAGCCCAGTTTCATCAACAGAGCCGGCCCACACTCCTTCAGGATATAAAACAGCAGCATTTATGTCTATCAAAACCGGGAATCATGCGACCAGAACTACACAGGGCATTAGCTAGGCCGTGGTCCGCTGCACACTGAATGTAAGGAATCACTCTTTGAGCCTACCACGGTCATGAGGACATTGCATCCCGTCCCCCATCAACGGTTCAGCCCACTGAAGCCAGCAATCGAGGTGGAGGGTGTTAGACAAGTAACCAACTTGTCAATATCCACATCAAGCGCAGCCACACAGGGGATATGAAACAACCAACATAGAATTTGAAGGAAAATAAATGTATAGAATTGAAAAGCACGGTAAGAAGACGAAAACTGGTAGATGCATGGATTTCGTATTATCTCCTCAGTACCATTAACAATAACCGGTATGCAACTATATACTTAAATATGTGTGTGACCGAATAAGCACGGGGTGCAAAATGAATGACGGAAGTTCCACCCCTATGTCTACGGCAGTCTTAAGCTGATAAATAATTGCTTTTGAACACACAGGGCCGGCTTCATCCGGCTTATCGCAACGGCCTCGGCGAAACGGATGAAGCGGGGATTAGGGTGACGTAATACAAGTGTGAACGCTGATCCAAGCTCTATCCGGTGACGCGTAGTCAGTAGGTGTTTACCTATTGAGGAAGCTGGCGGCTTGCGCAAGCACGGAACTTCAGTGGGACAGGGATGCTGGTCAATTTCACGTTGAACACGTTGTCACAGAATATGCAGCAGAATAACAGAAGTGAGTAAATCAAATAAAGAGAAATACATTTTAACCACGTTGAGACCTAGTCTGAGTGCAAGTCAGCAAAGCCCAACTGCGATGAAGAAGCATGATGTATGCAGCATCAACCTAAGTAGAATACGGTACGGAGTTATTTGCGTGTTAAGGTTACGCTTGACACGGGACAGTAAAAAAGCAAACAAAAGTGGTTTCACTGACATTCCCTTATCCTAACACGAGACCCTGTTGTTTGGTGTTTATTTGAAAGGTACAGGTGCGTATACCTTTATTGTTTGTGCAATGCAGTTAAAATCATCAGATTACCTTTCAATTCGCCCCCTATTCGCTGTCAGTAAGACAGTTCCAGTTGATGCATGTTTAGATGGTAGCGAAATGACAGAACAACTTGATGATGCGCAATTGCTGAGGATGGCGAAAATAAAGATGGAGTAACAGAGGGAGGCTCTCATTGACCTGTCCACAACTTTCAAGGAGAAACTTGAGGCTGAATTCGTCACACTCGTAACCACCAAACCGTATTGTATGTTGCGTAGTGTTCATATGTAGATTACACACCAAAAGTGTTCGATAGATCAAGAGGAGATGCAATCGATCCATCACACTGCATTGAGACACTTATGTGACTCACAAAATAGGCCATGGGCCAGAGGAAACCACTTTCGCATGCGATAACTGCTACCCTCCGAAAACACTTAGAGCAAAGCAAGTAGAGCCAAGGTATTTCGCAAATGGTGAGCGAACCAACGTTATGGAGCAATGTGCATGCATCGATGAGTTGGTGCTGTCGATCAAATTGTGTAGATGGGCGGTCTCTGAGGATAGCCTGTTGGAGCTGCTCAAGAGGAAAGTAAAGAACCCATTAATGGGTCGATTCAAGTCGATGTGACTGAGCTAAATGAAAGCTATATGTCACAGCAGATCAGAAAAAGTATTGACCACCAAGCGAGGATTTGTGAGCAAGTAAAGCAAAAAGCAGTGCCACGGAAGGCTCCCACGGGTAGATCTTATTGATAAGGCAGTTGCATCTTGAGATGCAGCACTGAGTTAATAGTTCGCAGAAAAAAATAGGAAAGACAGACACAAATGTCTTAGGTCATTCCGACTCACATTTACCGTGGCAATGAACAAAAGGGTTACGCAAATAGATGTCGCGTGGCCGCCCAATCGGATTAATAGATGTTAAGAGTAGGGAGTGTAGGTGGTCCCCGATGGAACAGGTGTCCAAGTTCTCATACAGTTGCATCAGATATATTTGCCCAAATGTATCTGTTGATGTGTTGTAAAACAACGAATGACTCAAATCGCTCTAATCAAAGCAATTGTTGGAAGCAAAAAGTTTGCGAAATCAAGCCGCGCAACTTCGTCCAAAACTCGCCTCCGCAATGCACCTCTGAGCACAACGAGCATGTGCGACAGCATTCTCTAGGCAAGCAAGCACGGCTAGCTCAAAAGACGATGGGAAATCAAGGATCTGTATTCATGCACACACATACATACATACACACACAAACAGTGAGCGCAACCCGAATGTGCAAAATCTGGAGTAAATGCAAGAAAAATGGGTAAAACACAAGTACAACAAGTTAGTTTGACCTCAAATGAGAAGAGGTGGCACAAGGCCATGAGCATACATTCAATCACGTGGTTACTTGGACATGGGTAGATAATCACTAAGACAGCGTAGACGGCTGAAGTAGTCCGGTTGTGTAGTTGGTACGACGAAACGAGGGCTGTAAGCACAGATGTTATGAACAGGTCGTAGTCGTTGACAGAGAGCGAGTGGCGTGCTATTGATACAATGATGTGAAAAACCTCCGGACAGTGTCAAAAGAGAACGTTTGCACTGACTCTCTGAACCATACGAAAAGGACGGAGATAATCGTGAACAGAAAGGCCGTAGAAATCAGCAGACGATGAGAGTGCTAAAAAAGGTGAGTGAGAATGATCAGTTTTGGAGCGTATACGCCAGAATGAATATCGACAAAAACAGGTGAGACCAATAAATGAGCAAGATGTTTGGGGAGAAACAGCTGCTCTGTAGCCAGACACAGTGCGGACTAGGCGTGTAATTAGAGTAAAGACAATAAAAAGTGCTACTTGCAAGTTATGTCTGAGGTAAACATCTGATAACGCGTCAAAATGAACTCGCTTTTGAGGACAGTGGGTTGATATCCCAGCGTATATGCGTTGATTTGAGATATGCCATAGGAGACAATCACAACAAGCGTCACAAAGCAGGGTACAAAAGCGAATTGTGTGCTGGCACGATTAAGCTAAATAAGCATAGATGGAGGAAACTGCGAGAGACTAGCCCGCATACCTTCGGGCAGGGGCATGTAGTCTGAGTGACGTAAGCTCCAAGCAGCTTACCATAACTTGTACATTTTTGACTGTATTTCATACACAAGTCGAGGAGGAACGCTGTCAATAATGAATACAGACTCGGCTTTAGTAGAGCTATCAAGCATCTGATACCAGGCATCTAAAAACGAGATTTTCTCAATTCGACGCCAGTTCCGATGGCACATCAGGAAGTTAAGCCTTGGCACATTTAGATCAAAAGGCAAGCATAGTATCTACTGGATACTTCGCATGAGTCTTCGAAAGACGTATACCAAACGGTAGCATAGTTTTTAGCATGACCGGATAACTTTCGTCCGAATGCTAAAGCCATAAAAGATTTTTCACGTAAATCATACAACAGTAAGTGAGTAAGTAATGAGTTACAACTGTGATGATAGTGTCACTCTACCATTGCTGTTGAGATGCCAGTAGAATAGTCTGGACCATTCATAATTGGTGAAGCGGAGCCGGAATCGACACTACCGAATGAAGCCCAGCAAAATAACTACCTCACCCGAAGATGCAATTAAGCAGCCTTACAGCCCAAAGGGGTCGACACAACCAACCAATCATGAGTCATTGAGAACACCAAAAAGGCGCCAGGAAAAGTGAGGGCTACCGAATAGCAAGAAAAGAGTATGTCGTGACTGGGACACACATTCCTGAACGGGCTTCGTGCAAACAGTTGAAAAAAAACTGGTAGTCGATCTGCAACGACGATAGCACGGAAACAATTAGTGGGTTAAATACCTTTCAGGGCGTGAACGAGAATCGCACTTCGCATTTCTATCCCACATCGCCACGAGTAATATACAATGTGATCATCGCATGTTGAAAAGAAGCAGAGCGTTCAGGATTGCTCTCTCCCATCATCACTCTGTAACGCGTTTCGTCCTTGGTTGGACTCATTAGGTAGCGATAGTCTGATCTGGAAGTAGAGCTTGGCACAAGGTGGTTGGTGGCTGTCGCAATTCTTACAATCCATTGAATTTCGTTAGCAATGCAAAACGAAGCGGCTGGAAGCTGTTTGTTGGGTTTTGGCGCAACCGCCAGGTGTCTTGGATTGCGACGTACAATGCCAATTGTGGTCTCGGTTGACTTTGAAGTGAACCTCTACCAATAAAACCATTGGGGTCATCACCGAAGTGAAGAGTTTCGGTGTTGCTATCTCCCGAGCACTTGATCCGTGACTATTGTTCCGAAAAGAATGAAGGTGCATTAGCAGTTGGCCTCGAAATATTTCGCCAGTCGTAGGTAGAAATCAGCCACCTATTTATGAAAGCGTATATGAGCACAGAAACGTCAGCACTCACTGCGGTTCCTACATCCTAATCCGTGCTAGATATGAAGCGCTGTAATCTGATAGTTCGAATTTGCCTTAGGCGTCCGGAATATCAATCTCGTTAAAGCACCTTGAAGCAATTGCGATAGATTCGACGCTAACTCCATATGGGCTGACAGTGGGTTCTGAATTTTGCAGTAAAATGACGCGATTAGGAAGATTCCCTCATGCTGATGTTGTATCGACAGTGCAGGGGTGTGAAATCATTTATATAACTTTGCCTAGCACAAATTATTTTAGAATACATTAGAAACCCAAAAGAGAGACTGTGAGTGACCATACTGATCAGGGTTAACGCTTAGGCTGTAGTGTGCGGAGACGGTACTACACCAAATATTTCTTCACACACATTTATACCGCTTACAAGATTTCCGTATCAGGTGGTTTGCACTCTGAAAGAAACGTCATGTAAAGTGAAGAGTTAAACCTCTTGGTAGCTTCAAATTGGAAAGAGTTATAGGAACAAAGTAAGTTTGAACAATTCTTACAAAAACGGAAATGATTCGCGAAGTGGGAGAGGAGCTTCCGTTTCGGGAATCCGTTTGCCGAGGAAACATTCGATTGGCAGCGCGTGACCAACGTTCACGTTCCTTGTGCTGGATTGCCTGTGCCCGACGTAGCTCACTTTCAACCAAAAAAGATGTGGGAACCATGTCATGTACCTTTCTGAGTATAGGAATGGCTTCATCCACATCGCCTTGCTCAAGTAAGGCCTAAGGAATAGAATGAAAGAAATGAATCAACAAGACAGGATGGTCCATTGGAGTAAAAATAATCAAGTGCGTAACTTTGAAATAATTTCTCCGAAACTGAATCAGAACGGCGTTGAAAGAAGTGCGTTACGGGATGCAAAGGATAGCGAGTAATGAAACCAGTGAGTGTAGGCAAGAGAAGGCAAACTAAATTCACGGAAACGGAAGGTTTCGAAAGTGATTCAGTTTGGTAGCTCAACAATATAGCGGTAGCACTGGTGTTATGAAGGTTTAATCCATCATACAAATCCTTGAAAACTAACACAGAAAAATAGACAAAAAAGCATAATGACATCCTAGTAAAAAACGAGTAAACGATAGAAGTAACTGGTAAAAAGTAAAAGCGCCGATGCGTCAGTAAAAATAGTTTCTGGAAAATGGTGTCCACAATATGGGCACAACCAAACACAAAGCTTCAAATCAGCCAAACCAACAGAGCATAAACATCCCCATGCATTTCAACCAGAAAACTGACGATTTCCATAGGACCACACACAATAAGGCATAAAATAAAGGAACAAAACACAGGTAGACCTAATTAGCAACACCAACGACAGCACATCTCTAAATGGAACTGTCATATATTTAGCAACAGTCTATGAATAGACAAGAGCCATCAGAAACCATGGGACTCAAACAAGGTACAGAAATAGTAAAACACAACACAACACATAAAAGTCCATGGTTTCGTCAGAGGGCGAGATACTACCCGGTTGCCCAAGCCGGGGAGGAGGCTAGCAACTGTGAAGCTCAGAGCAAACATTCGGGGTCAAGGTCCTTACCTATCGTCAACGACACGAGGTAACGAACAGCTGGCAATAGTGAGCAGATAAAATGGCGTCTCTGAAAGTACCTATGCAGCTTTCACTGCACCACATCACAATCAACCCTAACCCACAGATAACCTAACATCCATCCTGCAGTAAGCAAACAATCCGACTAGAGTATGACAGTAAATGCACAGCTGATGCCGACGGGGAACAAAATCCTGTAAAGTCTCCAGTCAAACCCCATGTGAATTGTGTGGAGACATGTTTGGAAGATAAGACAGATAAACAAAACCTGGTTTTGTCATGGATTTCAGTCCTTGCTGTCGTGTCCGCTTATGCTCATATTGAGCACCGCGTTATCCAACATCTGGTAAACAAAACAAGGCCTCCTCGGTAAGCAGCGACAGGGCACACGTAGCACGTGCCTAAGCCAAAGCAAGTGATCATCTCAGCCTAGTGCCTGACTGCGCGAATCAGCTTTGCGGATACGTTGAGCACAACGGACACTAACGATGGCCAAACTCTTGGAAGCAACTCAGATTCTCAGAACGAACGGTCCACATCTCCCAGTCAAAAAAGAAGGCGTCCCACACTGTGACTTTTCGTACACGGACATGGGGGTTGCAAGTTCATAAACGCAATAAATCAACCGCCCATCTTACTCGGACGTTGCCAATGGCACTGGACTTTTCATCTCTCAGGCCACTGCCATCTGCCGTCGCTATTGATCAAATATGTATCTCCTAGACAGACGCCATTTCACAGCGTTAAAGACGCCGTGGGAGAACCAGACGGTGGAGAAGTGGATTCGGATGTGCTTTGTACAGGACATTGAAAGCGACTCCAGACTGAGTTCGGCTCGCCCACCTTGTTCATCAATCGCATTCGGATTAATACTACAGCTTCGCAAATTTTATTTGGTTCATCGCAATTAGCTTACAAGCCGCAAAGGTGAACTAAGAATCCGAAAAAGAACCAGAGGGCCGTTTCTCGCTTTTGGTGCTCGTTCCCTCGATCTCCTGCTGGGGACTGAACCCATCATTGCTAGTGGCTTGCACCACTATTCAGCAGCTTATGCCACTGAGCCATGGGGGAAGATAGCCGACCACCACGGATTGAAATCTAACGGCGTTACAGCCCGACCCATCCCCCACTGTCATGCAGGCTACTGTCGGTGCGGAGGACAGTGGTTGACCGTCCGGGTCAGGATCTCCTTTGCCAGTGCCGTGAATCCACACAGTATTCTGAAGACTGATAGGCCTACGCATTTTTATTACTAATGAGTAGAAGGATTTCGGTGTGATTTTATTTGGTTCATTGCAATAAGATTATAAGTCGCGAAATGACAACACTGGGGGTAAGCATGCACATTGTTGGAGCAGGAAAAGTGGGCGTCATGCGGACACGCATCATACCATGGTCCAACGGAAGGCACGCGTTCCGAGTTGACCAGAAATCGAGGACCGACGCGCACCATCTGCAGTTGATGACAATATAGTGAGTTTAGGTAACGGCTGGCTCGTAGTGGGTTTCATGGAACCAGGTGCGAACGCTAATGTTGCTGATACAGAAGATGATGTCGGTGTATAGCAAAGAAATCGGTCGCCATGTCAGTAGCACAAGTATCGAAACCAAATGGATCCCAGCAGCTATGCAGATGCTGACAGGTGACCCAGTCGAGTATTCATGACACGTGTAACGATAAAGAAGACCGTGCATAGAGTAGCCGGACAGATAGAGAGAGTGTATATACACAAGGGATGGAAGACAACCTGCCTATGATTGCTGTCGCGAATTCCCAGGAATGCAGATTCAAATGCCCACCTTTAGGTATACGACAGAGCACAATTAAGATTAATAAACTGTCTGGATAACGTTGTGGCTTCAGTCAAGCAAATCAGTGACAGAGTTATGCACATAAATCACGGGCCCAAGTAAGACGCAGAAATCGGGTCCGAAGTAGTTGGATTTGAATGACTGAGTATACAATAATTGATAATCTAACTGAAACACCGACTAAAGGAGAATCGGTCCAGTGTGTGCGGGAAAGGTACGTAGTACCGACGCTACCCAGTCGCGCAAGCACCAACAATCGCATGTCGAACACTGAACGGATGAGGACAAGACTGAAAACAATCGATAGTCCACTGGTTCTGGAATTTCAGTACTACCCGGTAATATGTAGATCGCACCAAGAGGATACCAAAATGTCCACCGAAGTAGAAAGTTTGCTGGTGAAGATTTCGTCACCCGAGTAGATTGTATCATCAACGTCACGTTAAATGAAGTTAAGCATACCGAGGTAAAAACAACTTCAACAACTGTCAACTGTGCCGCAAACTATTTTCTCTATTCTAAGTAGAACTGAGTCCAGCTGTAGGGAATTCGAATGGATTAGAAAAGGATAAAGCTGGTATTAGAGAATAAATATCAGCGCTCCGCACGATACCAAATCAAGGTGCGAAATGTGAAACTTACCTTCCCTTTCCGAAACAATGCTTTGAAGTTTTGAGGGTGCTTAAAAAGCACGGAATCGCACGACTTGATAGCAGCGTCGTAGGCCTGGATCTGTGGAAAGGTGATGCAATGAATTCATCAGAGATGAAGGGAAGTAACAGAGTCGATTCATGACGTTAAAGGAAATTTAGGGAGGCTTTCGTTAGTGGCAAAACGGGAAGGTTCAATGAGGGGAAGCAACAAAGGCTAAGATAAGAGGTACACCTGGGTGTGTTATAAATCTACGTTCATAGCTAAGACGAGTCGAATGAATGAAAATAGAGAATGGAACGCAACACGTAGACGAGCTCAGGCAATTTGTCCGGTTACTAGTTTCGGTCGAAGAACGGAAGAGATTCAACAGCACTGATTAGTGCTCGATTGCGCACCTTTCGAATCATATGCTCAAGCGTCACTAGAGCGAAGTAATACCCCGCAAGCAACGATAATGACAGACGTGGCGATGTCTGATTTCCGACCGAAAAGGCCGTTTCACCGTCGTAAAACGAAGTTACAACCCAATATAAAGAGTCAACAGAACCAAACGCATCACAGGTTCATGAAGACAGTTGCAACTTTTGTTAGCTGTAAGCTGATTTCCAGTTAAACACGCTCCACCGCTAACGCCGCTATCGAGGTGGATAATGCGAGCAAATGTCCGATTATTTGCCACCATGAGTCAAAAGGAAAAAGGGAGCTGCTGACCTAGCATCCGCACGCTGTAGGTGCAAAGCGAGTACCAAAGGGGCCATCCGAGAGTTTATGCAGAGTGGAATGTGCCAACTTACGGTGCTCGAACAGCGGAACGATGTCGTCGGCCGAATGCAGATCAGCGACTGTGGACCATCACGCGCTCCAAAGCTTTCAAGGATAGGGAAGGTGAAAATCTGTGTATTCCGTTGTAACGTACTCACGGAAAAGTACATCGGAAGGAACAGTGAGTGAATGAGTGTAAAACAACAATGAGATGGAAGAACTCGGACAACCTCGACCTGCTGGTATGTGTCACGCAGAGTACAAATAGGATCTACACAGCTCAGCCATTAACGAAGGTCTGCCCAACTCTATCATCCAGGATTTCTACAACAAAACGAGCGAAGTGAGGATGAAGAGTAAGGGCCAAGGTAAGTGTCAAGAATGTACTTGAGTATTCATCGTAAGCACAGCAAGATCAATGTCAACCAATCAGATTACTGGTTAAGATTGACCTTACCTTCCTTAGTTCATTGGTCCTTCGGTTCGGCATCTTTAACCACTATAAAGAATGAGGCTTTCATAATACGGTCACACGCTACGCCTGCGCGTTTTGTTCTCTCCATCAGGTTACGGCCATAATTAACATTGGGTGGTAGGTGGGATCTTGCCACAAACTGACAGTACACATGCTGTAACAGCGCTCACTTGCTGGTTTCACCAGATACAACTTATGATACGCAGACCCCAGTGGTCAAACAGGATGGTTTCCCAAAGGCTGCCAATGCGCGGTACCATATATTTGACCGGTAGAGTAGCAAAGAATCAACCGTACTGCAACGTCGCACATCCACTTCGCTTAAGCTGTAAACATTATATATATATATATATATATATATATATATATATATATATATATATATATATATATATATATATATACATATATATATATATATGGTTAGCAGCATCCAGTTTCGGATTTGTCTGTCACTGTGGACAGCCACAGGACGCCTGCGCCTACAGAGGGATCATGCGTGGCTTGCGCTGCATCACCCACAGCTCCAACCACACACCCCATATCCAGTGTAAACCCGAAGGAATAAGACCGGGAGGCATGCGGATGGGAGCCACGTTTCATCAACGGAGCCGGCCCACACTCATTCACAGGCAAACACAAGCACACTGTATTTGGGGAATCAAGCGCACACAAGGCGGTGGCTGGACCGTAGTCCGCTCCACACTGAGTGCATGGAACCACTCTTTGATCCTAACACGGCCACAAGGACCGTGCACCCCGTCCCCTCCAGCAACGACCAACTGTCTCCTGGAGCCAGTATGAATGAGGTAGTGGGTAATAGACAGGTAGGCACCTTGTCAACATGCACATCAAGCGCAGCCACACCGGGGATATCAAGCAACAGCCAATCACTTGAGAGAAGGATACAAAGAAAATAACTCGAGTAATGCATAAGGAAACGGTGACATAAATCTTAAATTAATGAGCATATGAAATAAGTTGTTTACAAACGAATCCTAGATAAGTTCACGAGGTCAGAAAGTATACTTTACGGAAATGCCACGAACACGAAAATGTTATGGAAATTGACTACAATTGGCTTAAGCGAAGTGTGCAAGTTAATGGAAGAGAGTACAGGTAGACATTAATATGAGAAAGAAAAGCATTAGGACAAAATTGAAAAACCCCCACCTGAAATAAAGAGACTGAGCATGCAAGCACGCGGTTAGTAAATCGAATGCAGCGTACCTACAAACGCTGCGCCGGTTCTGCCTACGTTCTCTGCAGGACCCGTCGTCGCTTCGGTAGTGGTCCCGAGTGGCCTCGCTCATGGCTCACTAGGCCTGCCTGACTCAAGCACTCGCGACCGCATGTGCTACAGCACCATGCGCTTGATGTCGATGGAGTACAACCCATCGGTGCTTGCCGCTTCCGCAATTGCCGCTTCTTCTCTGCATGCATGAGGTCTTTATTCCGCACTTCGGCAACTGCCTTCATGATTAGATCGCGCCATGCACGCCGATCAACCGCCTTTGATTGCCATGACCTGCAATCAAGATTAGAACGTGAGAGGCTCACTTTGATCATGTCCTGGTAACGTAACTTTGGTTTCCTCACCTGCCGCTTCCCAATACTCAGCTGACCATATAAGAGTTGTTTCGGTATCCGCGTTGAATCCATACGGCTCACATGACCGAGCCACCTCAGGTGTCTCAGTAAAAGTATGCAGTCCACTGCATACATCCCACTTCGGCGCAACACCTCCGTGTCAGCAACTTTGTCGCCCCAACCGATGCGCGAAATTCGTCGCAGACACTGCTGATGGAACCGCTCGAGATATCGCACATCCCGACGGTACATCGTCCACGTTTCACTGCCGTATAGAAGAACGGACAGCACCATGGATTTGTACACCATCAGCTTCGTGCCAATGCTAAGCTGATGGTTTTTCCACACTCGGTACTCTAGCTTCCCGAATGCCGCCGTTGCCTTCGACACGCAGATACGAAGCTCACTGTGTATTTGCTGATCAGTCTACATCACACTCCCAAGGTAGCAGAAGCGGGAGGTGCTCTCCAATACTTCAGCACCAATGCTGATTCGCGGCAATATTGAAGATTGCACCTCCGGTGAAAGCTAAAAGAGACAGACAGTTTTGATTGTCGTGACGATGAGCCCGAATTTTGCCGCTGTCGAAGCCAGAGCACTAGTCATGTGCTGCAACTCATCCGCGTTATGTGCAAACAATGCAAAGTCTTCAGCAAACAGCAACATACGGATAGTTGTCTCACAGACTAGAGTTCTCGCACCGAAACGACAGATGTTCAGCAACCCACCATCAATACGGTGCTCCACACGAACACCGTAAGCACAAGCGACATCAAAAGCACAAGACAACATTGCATGAAGATAGATATTAAACAGGGGAGGAGCTTAGACACAGCCTTGCTTCACACCAGAGACAACTGCAAAGTCATCCGAGGTCTCTCCACTCAGCTGCACCCTCGCTCGCATACCACTGTGCAGACATTCAATTAAACTTACAAACTTACGCGGGCAACCAAACTTACCCAACACCAGCCACAATGCCTCGCGGTTCACCGTATCAAATGCCTTGGTGAAATCAACAAAAAGCGAGTACAATGGCTGGTGTCGTTCTCTGCACTTCTCCTGCAACTGACGAGCCGCAAACACCATATCTATAGTGCTGCGACCCGAACGGAATCCACACTGCTCTTCCGCCACGTTAGGTTCCACAACCTGACTGACGAGGCGATTGAGCAGGATTCGGGCAATCACCTTGCCCACACAACTCAGCAAGTTGATGCCATTAACATTTATTTTTGACATTTGCATGCATGGCTCGAGGGATGAGCTGTACAGCAATATGCCAAGAGAGGACGAATGTCCCGGCAGAATAGGAAACACTGATTGAAATAAAACTTCAAACAGTGGTCGGAACCGCGTCAATTGTCACCGTGTGGGATTGGGTGCATGTTATGTAAGGCGTGATGATGCACCACGCATGTAGGTGTCGTAGACCTTCAGAGTCAGACGAAGAGTAGAAACACAGAGGTCAGAAATATCAAGTGATGTCATCCCGAGTGCGGTAAGATGTTTGGCTGAGGTGGAATATATCATCCCTCGATTATTGATAACGACGGGGTGGTGAACAATATTTGTCGTCTCAGGAAACTGTTCACGTATGTATCGCGATATGGCTGCGGCATTCTCCCCTGATCCGTATTTATCCACTTTCAGTTTATAAGTACAATCCATTCGGTACGCGTCACAGATGGCCACGTCCACAATGTGAACCGTAGAATTTCTAACCGCAAGCAGGTCTGGCTTGATGAAGGAGGTGGCTGTCGGAATCCTCGGCTCCATAACAATGTTAATGCTTCGGCGCCGCAATTGCCTGGCAATCTGTTGGGCAATTTCATTATGACGTTTACAGCGGACATCATGCGTGATGCAGCACGCCTGAAGAACATGTGAGAGAGTCTCTTTTTGTCCGCAGCTCCCGCGGCAGTTGAGAGAAGCCGGGTCATTTGTAGATCTGCCTCTGCTCCGTCGCGTTTTGGTAGAAAGAACACCCCCCCGTAGTTGGACACCCCGTATGAAAAGACGTGGAAAAATCCTGGTGGGGTCCCTCAGCCAGTGGTGAGCGGAAGGTGACGTGACCACGTTTCGCAAGGGAGAGCCATCCACTGAAGCAAAAAAAGCATCTCTCCAGGCATCCGCAGCTGAGCTTTTATCCATGACGACGCGATTACCGATGGTAACAGTGGAGCGCGCTAGACGATGGATGGCAGCGGCTGCCGGGTCCCGGATCGCCCAACTGGTCACTGGATGGCAGTTGGCTAGGTGTCGTTCCAGCCTCTCCTTCCGTAACAGGGGAATACTCGTTGACAAACACGGAATACCCAAACCAAAGCTCGCAATGGGAGAGTGAAGATATGCAATGGAGGTGTCTGACGGCAAGCGCAGCCATTTTCTGACGTGTGATCTGACAATGCGATCCAAACGCTCCAATGTATTCCGGTGAACCACTGCCAGAGCTAACTGATGAACATGCTTGGGGAGCAGATAGGTCCTCAGAATCTCAAGTCGTTGTTGTGGTTTAAGCGGTGCCTTGGTAACTTCGTTAAGTTGCACAGTAATATCGTCGATTACTGTTAGAGGGAGCTTACCCTTCCAGTTAAAAGGCAGGCCCAACATCTTGAACTTTTCATCGGGCTGAATGAAGGGAATAAAAATAGGATCACAGTCCAAAGCATTCGTATAAAGTATAGTTCGTTTGCGAACGCCATCAAGAATTATATTTACCGAGAAAGATTTTAGATGGTTGATGTTGAGGCCGACGAACTGCAGTCGTTGATGGAATCGCTGAAGGTGATCTCCCAGAGAAATGTGGTCTTGAGCAAAGATGATCATGTCGTCCGCGTAAGCGAGGTACTCAATCGGGCCAGCCGGTGATATCCAAGGCGAAGTGGCGACTCCGTGTAAAACTTCATCTAGGGGCATTATAAAGAGCAAAGGCGAAAGCGGATCTCCTTGCCGGACCCCTCTATCAGGATAAAGCTTGACATCATCAAAGATTGAGGACGCGGAGCTGTAATACGATGCCAAGTAATCTAATAAAAACGGGGGGGGGGGCTCCGAAAGCAGCTGCTGCTCAAAGTAAGGAGTGATGAGAAATGGCACCGAACG